ATAATAATAATAATAATAATAATAATAATAGGCCTAATAATAATAATAATTCAATGAGACTAATTAAAAATAATTTGCGTTCTGTTATGACAAATGCTCATTTAGATAGCCTCATGATGGTTGGAATACATCGTGATAGGTGAAGCAACCTCGACCATTACAACGTGGTTGACAGATTTCATGCAAAATTTCCAAAATATAGATTTCACTTTCAAGAATGAGGATTTGAAAATAAATAAGATGGTTACATTGTATACTCTTTGTTTCTTGCTTTATTCAAAATTTTTTGGTTTTGGAAGCTGATGTCAACATTAGAAAGCATAGCCTACATGAAGTCATATTATAGTAACTCGATGCCTATCAAATAAGTAATAAAAATTCGCCATAATTCATCAAATATCCGTGGCTTCCAGGTCCCCCTGGCCCCCAGCCAAGTGAGACTTGATTCGCTCCACTAGCCCCCCCCCCCTTCGGGGCCTTTAGCCCCTCCGTCGGGCAGGTCCTGGCGCCACCCCTGCCTGACAAAATGATACGAATATAATATACGGTACAGCTGTGGGTCAATATTACGCATGGTCATGTTGTCAAAAGTAAAGAAAAACTTAATATTCAAAATATTAATTGTTACTAGCTGTCTCTTATACACATCTAGATGTGTATAAGAGACAGGACTTGCCAATGTCATCAGTGAATGAACCCCCCAGATACCAGCTACATATTCATCCCACAGTCTTTGATTTGCTCGTATTGCCGTTCGTGATGTATAACTGCTGTCTCTTATACACATCTAGATGTGTATAAGAGACAGATATACGGTACAGCTGTGGGTCAATATTACGCATGGTCATGTTGTCAAAAGTAAAGAAAAACTTAATATTCAAAATATTAATTGTTACTAGTATTAAAAATATATCTTATGAAGCCTTTATGCTTGGGGAAATCCGTCACTGAACAAACAAACAACTTATTGCAATATCATTCTCATTCTAATTCCTATGGCCAAGTCAACTCGGCCCCAAATCAATTCGCCCCATGTCAATTCGGCCCCAAGTCACCTCGGCCCCGTGTCAACTCGGCCCCAAGTCAACCCGGCCCCAAGTCAACTCCGCCTTAAGTAGTCAACTCGGCCCCAAGTTAACTTGGGGCCCCAATTTACTGTATATTTACAAAATAATTTCCAAAAGCAATATGAATGCAAAGCCAAAGGCCTATGCCAAGTGTTCATCTTGCATGTTATTCTTTTTTCATTAACAATAATAAAACAGCATTTATATAAATAATATTAAAATAATAATAATAAAAAGGCATAATATAAAAACTAAATAATATGACCATAATGATTTATAGGTATATTAAATATACATTATATATACCGGTGTATACTAGGCATATTTAAATATACTGAAATTCTCCAATGAAGTCCATATGTCTATGACTATTAAGTATTGTCATGGTTATGTCGTTATTATTGTCAACAAATCGTTATTATCATTATTAATTATATTATACCTTTTTATTGTTATTATTAATATTATTTTAATATTATTTTTATTAATGCAGTTTTAATTGTTAGTGGATGTAAATGAAAAGAAATCACATGGCAACGATTTAAAACACTTTTGTTCAAAACTTAATTTTGGCTTTGCAGTTAAGTCTCTTTAAATATAAAGTACTGTACATACACAGTAAATTGGGGATGAGTTGACTACTTGGGGCCGAGTTGACTTGGGGCCGAGTTGAATGGGGCCAAGTTGACATGGGGCCGAGTTGACTTGGGGCCGAATTGATTTGGGGGCGAGTTGACTTTGGGCCGAGTTGATTGGAATTCGAACGATAATATACTGAACTCTTGAGGGCGTTTAAGCTGGTTGAACATCAGTTGTCATGGCGGACCGACGCACAAAAACGAAGCATGTAAAAAAGCAACAAATAAGTGATAAAAAGCTAGAGGAAGACTTATTGAAGCAGTTTGAAGAACTAAAGTTAGGTATGACATTTAGATTTATTTTGAAATTTAAACTGTGGAGTCTTGATTTAATATTGCTTGACTATTATTGAATATTAGCTGGGTCTAAAAAAACCTGATTCGGCTGGGGGGAGGAAGCGATCGAAAACCCATCATCACTCTCTCCCTAGGCCTAGTAGCTAATAGGCCAGGGAGTGTGATGGGCTAGGCTAGCCTTCCTTGGCGGTAGAGACTTATTCAGGCCAAGTTGTAGCCTACACGCAGCCTACCTTAATTAAACGTGCGGTTTTAGGCCTAGGGCCAGGCTAGGGAGATAGTCAGTATGATGATGTACTAGGCCCTACTAGTACTAGGCCTAGCGCCTAGGCCTTTATTTAGGGGTGGCGCCAGCGGGGGTGGGGGGATATGACCGGTTGAGCCGCCGACAAGTTGAGCCGCCGGTCATTTCTATGGAACGCCAAGCGCGTCTCTCAGTGAATGTAGTGCGTCTCTCAGTGAATGTAGTCGGCTTGCCGATGTCATCAGTG